GGAAATGCTGCTCGTTCGTCCCAGATCGGCCCTGGATTGTTTTTCTGAGATGCACACAATTGACGTGTGTGTTTTCCTTTATCAGCTAACCCCAAAAAGACTCACAGATCTGCTGTTGAATGTCTCCTGGGGGACAAGCATAAAGCATCTGTTTCTCAGCTCTCAGACCTTAAATATAGGGAATGAAATAAGGAAAAATGGGAAACAGCAACGTTTTCCAAACTTGATTTACATTTATTCACACTTCACCAGATTTAAACGACTAACAACTAATTCCTAACTTTTATGTACTTTTAGAGTCAAAAATGGACTTTTCCCCCACAATACAAACTTTTTGTCCTTTTTGATGCCGGACTAATTTTTCAATGATTAGCTGTTAACAAAATAAACGTAAGTTGTTGCTGTTGTGACAACATCAGCACAACATTTCTGCTCTTCAGATTTTTACATAAATCTGAATAGATTATAGTTTTTCATTATTGTGCTTCACGTAAAAGCAACATAAGGACGGTGACACCGAGACACAAGTTTGTTACCAGTGCTGACGACTTGAAGTCCTATCAGTGTTTTTTTTTTTTTTTTTACGTGATGCCTTGTGTGTCCCCCATTCTCCTCCTCAACACACACACACATACACATACAACACATTGTTATTAGAAGCAGATGTTGATTTTATTGCTGGTATCTGTGGCTTCTTTCACAACGTCAACATGGTGTCATATGCTTCCGGAGAGCAGGACACATTTGCATGACGTACACACCTGTCCTCCACAATCCAACACACCGCTGTAACACAATCTGCAAGTAAAACTCACAAGAGGAATGTTTCATTACATGATGAACAGAAGGTGAATGCAGGGAGGGGTGGGTGGGGAGGCACAGAGATGCATAACTTAAGTAAAAGCCATCAGAAGCCATATTTGTTTACAGATTTGTTTAATAAAGGAAAACCTATAAGCCAACAAATGAATTTGCCTGTGGTTATAACTGTGTATTAAGATCATCACTTACAAGCTAGGCCTCCTCTGGCCCTCTGCACTGGCAATTCATCACACATTAATGTGGGAAATAGAATCTGCATAAAGCAGCAACAATGCCTTGAAGAAGTTTTTTTTTTTTTTGTTTTACTGTTTTAAGCATTAAAACCAGATTCTCTGAAGCTGTTAGCTAATTACAGTGCCTTTGAGGTATAAATTTATAACCTGGTTTTAAATTTAAAAAATAACTTTCACAGTTAAAAATAGTGCAGACGAAGCTAATGGCGACGTCTCACCTGCTTATGTTTCAGAGTTTTGTTGCCAAATTTGACAATAAAGCCCAACGAGCACAGACGACCCCTGTGGAAGAAGCAACGACGTAAAGAGGTCTAAGAGCAGTGTTTCATCTACAACAAAGTCTCAATCCCAGCCTTGTTTTCCAGGTTTACAAAGCACTGACGTACCTGTAGCACTGGTTATGCTCCAGCTCTATCTATGGTGAGATCACACAGGCGTCGCCACCTCGCTCCTGCACGTCTCTCTGCATATCGCACATAGATCACAATTGTCATTACCGCTTTATTAAAACTTGTCTCGTCAGCGATATTTTCCCCTCACGTATCTAACCTCCTTTCTTTTTTCTCCTTTCTGCCCCTCGTTTTCTAATCATCATTCCCCTCCATCACTTGCTGGATCTAATTCCCTCTTTTCCTTCACTTGCAAAGGACCTCTGCTTTCATCCTTGAGAAAGGCTTTAATTCGAAGTGCGACGCTGAATAAAGAAAGGAAGAGGGAGCGAGAATGAGAAGAGGGGAGAAAGTGATATGGAAAGACAGAACAGCGGCCGAGACGTTCGAATGTCAATCAATCGGGTGTGAGGGGCTACAAGGGCCCATGACTGGGTGCGTTTGATCTGTGTCTTTCAAAGGAAGAACTGCGGGAAAGGCCATCACAGACAATTTGCCTCTTACTGATGGCCCTGGTGCCACTCTGACAGAGCGCAATCACAAGCAGGTTAATTCAACATCTACCTTCTTAATCTTTTTTCCCCTGTCTCTTTCTTTTGTTCTTGTTCTGTCGACTTAGATGAAGAACTGATCTTGCTGCTACAGCCTCTGCCTCACTTTTTCCTTTTTTGGGGAGCCAAAGTATGGTTCCGAAGTGTAGTTCTACATGTCTTATCAACTCACCTCCAGGTAAACTGCTTTAGTTCAAGACAGGTTGAGAGACGTTTATTTGCATGTTTCTATACGATATATTCACACCATCAATTATTTTAAATCATCTGAAGCAAAAGAAAAAACATAAGCTGCATTTGAGATGATTTCTCTTGATGCCAGTGATTGGTCCGTGTCTGTAACTTGGTGTGAGCTGAATATTTATTAGATATCCTGAAAATATGTGGCTTGATTTGACTGAAAGAGGAGGATGTGCTTCGCTTTCTCCTGTGGCATTAGCCTGAATCAGTGAGGAGGAACAAGTATGTTCTTTTATACGGGTTTATAAGTTAAACTTGGAGAAGGGCAAAAGCACAAAAGATATACTATCTGCTTTACTGAAGGTCAGTCACGTGTGAGGACAAATAAAAGTGAGGGGAATCATAGGGGTGAAATAGTCAATATGAAGCTAAAAATGTACAATGGTTAAAGGTGAGAGGGTGCAGAAAATTTAGAAGGAGGTGTTTGAAAAAAACTACTTTAAGTGAAAAAGGTCAAGCTGGGAGGTTAAGAGGTGCAAGTAAAGAGATCCTGAAATCTGACAAAAGTAAAATACACCAAGCAAAGGCCAAATTCACAAATTTAAAACACAACTTTTCAGAGACGGAACAAGGACACAACTTTTACTTATTCAGATTTAGAAGGGGAAAAAAACATGACCAGAAAGTAAGTGTGCTCCAGTGATGTCCTCCTCTGGACTTTCCATGGTGCTCCCCTCTAGCTCCACTGTCTTTATGTAAGGTCAGAGGGATAACAGGATAAAGGCTGTCCTCACTGTTCCTCTGAAGGACAGCCACTCTATCAATTGGATTTGGAGGTCCTCAAGGACAAAGATGAACACTGGGATACAAAGGAACCCAATAGAGGAAGAAAGCCATTTCATCTGTCTCTGTGGCCTGAGTGATTGGCAGGGATGACCAGACCAGCAATCGTTGAGCACTGCTTCTATGTGGCCAGATGGCCTTCATCATGACTGAACACAAAAACTACATCCAACAAGAAAAATGCACTTTAGAAAGTCTGGACAACGGCACCGCAATAGAACAATAGAACCTTAAAGGTTCAAAACCTTGAAGTGCAATGACTACTACTAGTACTACCACTACTAATACTAGTAGTACCACTACTACTGCTAGTACTATTACTACTACTACTATGATGACTAAAAATATTAATGAATAGGAAATGTAATTTGTACAGCACTCATCTTAGCAATTTCAGAAAATGGCTTTAAAGAAAGAACAAGGTGGGCTGGGTCAGGAAGTACAACAAAAAATGACAAAAATAAATAATAATAAAAATAAAAACTTCCATACATAAAAATGTTAAGAATATGTTTCAGAGTACAGTAGTATGAGACTCATCATCCTTGTGTTCAGTTGAGGTCATAATAGAAAAAAAGGTCTAAATACAGTTTCACAGTCCTAAATGTAGAATTAAGGTGGCCTTAAACATTTTTTACACACAAAACCAGAGCAGATTTTGAGACTAGAAAGTTGCATTTAAATTCCCTGAACATGTATATTTTATTTAATTCATTTTGTAAAATATATTCAACATAACAGAGYTTTTCATTTTGAAGCAATTATTTTATTAAATTTCAAATAAAACTATTTGGAAAAATACTCATTGTAGTTAAATCAAACACAAGCATGTTTAATTTAAAACAGAGAGAATATTGAGTGAATTGAAATATATGTAATCGGGTCAATTTTAAATTTTTAAATGAAAAGCACTTCCTATAAATTTGTGCAATTTCTGCAAATTTCCATTTCTTTTCACTGGGCTTGTGAGAAAAAACCCTTGTATGGTGGTATAATAAAATATAAAATAACCTATAAGCAAAATAAAATAAAAAATATAGATTAAAGATGGTACCTGACACTGAGGACGACAGGAGAGTTAGATGGGGGGTAAGAGTGTTTTTCCAAGCAACTTGAAAAAAGTGATTTTCATTGAGGAGAATAAAAACAAATGAGATGAGCTAAAGTTTTCCTGACAGTGGATGTTTGGAAGGATTTTTCTATCACATTTGATATTTGCTTGAAGAAGAAACCCATGACAGCAGAAAGCACAAAAGTGAATTATGTCATTTGAGTATTTACATTTTTTGAGTTCAGGTCTTTCTGGGACATGGACTAATTACTCCTAAGAAAGTATTCACATTTAATTTATTGCATTGATTTAATACAAATCGATGTACAGATTAATGTACATGATTATTACTCAACTACTCAGTGATATATAKAATTAAATGCAGTTTTATTAGTACTATTTACACAATAAGAAATTTATCTTTTTTTTAATCAACAATATTTTTGTTTAGGTTTCAATTAAGTCTGTTTTACATTTAAATCTACATATATTAAATAAATCACTATTAAGGGTCTCATTTATTTAATATTTACTTAATACTTAATAAATAATACTTAATACTACAATAACAATGAGGAAACAGATTATAAGCAATATCASTAATTAAATTTCACAATGATGTGGTGTATTTTTTCTTAGTGTTTAGTAGATACACCTGTTGAGGAGCAGGTTGGTTCCTCCTCTACAGACCTGATAAGAGTTGTTTAGAAACAAAGACAAATAAAACTATCACAGCTGTGTGTCGTTCAAATAATTCCAACAGACGAGTGTTTAAAAATCTTTTTGTTACAATGTTTCTAAAGTTTATAGAGATACTCTATTTCATTTAAAGTCATATAAAAGTGAAGACAGTTAATCAGTTGTTTTAGTTTAGAAGTAAATTCATTTTTAGAACTCAACTGATTCCTTGACAGTGACAGTGAAACCATACCTGCATGTAGATAGGCAAGGTCTGGGTTCTCGATATCTGGGTGACTGTCCTTTAGGTGATTGCGGAACTCCGTGGGAGAATTGGTGGCATAGATACACTTGGGGCAGTTATACATCTTCACGCCCTCGTGCTTCCCCGTGTGCAGAATGTGCTTCCTGATGTTCTCTGCACAGTTGGATCTGTAGGAGACAAACTGAGATCAGCTGCGGTCCAACATCTTTATGCCTCTTTGGACAAAAACTTAAGAGTTAAGAGAAAAGTGTTAAAGGCCTAGCATATCCAAAGGGAATGCATATCTGCTGCCTTTCATGTCGGATTAATAATCTTATGTTAAGAAATGATGAGTTATAGCTGTTTCAGTTAAATCTTAAAAACTAGATTTAGCGTAATTTTATGTATTATTGTAAGATTTTGTGTGATTTGTTAGCGTTTAGAGTGTGAGTTGGCTATGAGTCTCCATTAGGTACCAAATGTTTGCTTAATATCTGTACAAATGTCAAMGTAAAAGCAATTTTTTAGTTTGCTAAGGTCACTCAGCTCTGGGGGCCAGCTTGAATCTAGTTGACTCTAAAGTTGGTAAGTTGTACATGTACATTATTGGAAGTATAGATGTACTTCCAATAATAACTGACACAGAAAACACAAGATAAATATTTACCATCAACCACAAGAATAATCTGTTGCAGTATTTTCTAAWTAGGATGACAAACAAACAGAAAACTAAAAACTCGAGCTGAGTTTAGATCTGATGAAGGAGCCACGTTTGAAAAGATACATTTTTTTTTGGTGACTAAAAACAAGTACAAACGGCTCCGGCTGGTTTCACAACAGAACAATAAGAAAGAACTGAGGCTACAAGGAATGCATCTTTTAAGATCTGAGCATATTTTATCATGTTTGTTTGATATGTTCTCTTTTTACATTTTTTCAGTGTAGTGTGCTGGGATGAGTGTGTGATGACAACTAGAAGATTCAGAGATATGTCTGTGGACATCCATTATGCAGACTATACCTTGTGCAGCTGTATGAAAGGTAACAGATTATTTTGTGGTGCATGTTCTGTGTGTGTGTGTCTTTTGTGTTGGTCAGATAGTGCAGGCCAAGCAGTGAGCTACTGCAGGGTATAGGATGAAACAATGTCAGCTTGGAGAGTCACACACAACCCTGTCCTGATTAATGACGCTGCCTGACCTGCTCCCCGGCTTTATCTAAACCTGCCCCCAAACATACACAAACAAACACGTTTAAGTGAATCTCTGAATGGGCAAGACCAGAATGCCTAATATACTAAATGCAAGCATACCAAAACCAGAGTTTGCACCAAAATAAAACAGTAAATTTCTGACATGTGTTGGTTTAAATGCATGAACATGAATCTGTGAACTCACACAAAGACATGTATTAACACACACTACATCATGCAAGTAAGCATGTTGTAGTGTGGGACATGGTCTCACACACCATCGTGTGTTGATGGATGGGGCACTCATGCTCAGTTTGGACCTGACATTCTCGGACAGTATAAAATGCAATTACTCTCCCTTATCACCTTGGCCGGTACAATAAAGCCTTGCGGTGCCATAGCTCACACCAACCAAGGAGAGAATCTGTTTCCACTTTTGCACAGACACCTCTCTCCATCACAGGTCTAAAGTCTGGCCTGGCTTTGCTGCAGCTTCTCCCCCAAAACAGAGAGAAAAAATGGACAAAGCAAACCGCATGGTGTACAAGCACAAACAGATAAACACCAGCCARAAGAGAACAATGAGGGTTTTAAAGCTCAACACTTTGCCAAGATTCAACAACCTCAATAACAATAACAGGTGTAGTATCATTCGTGCAAATCAAAATGTTTGGTGCACACACACACACACACACACACACACACACACACACACACACACAC